CCCCCGGGCGCGGCCGCCGCCGCTGGGGTCTGGCGAGTCAGGGGAACCGGGCCCGGGAACCGGGCCTGCTGTGGGAAACGCCTGGAGCAAATGCCTCGCGCCCCGACGTCAAGCGACGCTCTGCTTCCCCGGGGCTCTCGGCTCACGCCCCCCCAGGTCTCCAGCACGGCCTGGGCCCTGCTTGTCCCCTCGGAGCGCCCAGCCTGCGGCGTGCGCCAGGCACCGTTGCCCCAGCGGGCTGGTACCTTAGTGCCCCGTTCCCTGCACAGTGTGTCCCACGCCTGGAGCAAATGCCTCGCGCCCCGACGTCAAGCGACGCTCTGCTTCCCCGGGGCTCTCGGCTCACGCCCCCCCAGGTCTCCAGCACGGCCTGGGCCCTGCTTGTCCCCTCGGAGCGCCCAGCCTGCGGCGTGCGCCAGGCACCGTTGCCCCAGCGGGCTGGTACCTTAGTGCCCCGTTCCCTGCACAGTGTGTCCCGAGCGCCCCGGGCCGGGGGGAGCCTGGGGCGGTGCCGATGGGGGCCCAGGTGTCTCCAACGTGCTGCCTGGCCTTTCCGCAGGCAAGTCCGAAGGCAACGGCAAGATGCACGTCACGCTCTGCGACTTCATCGTCGCCTGGGACTCCCTGAGCGCCACGCAGAAGAAGAGCCTGAACCAGCGGTACCAGATGGGCTGCGAGTGCAAGGTAGGCAGGGCCCTCGCTCCTCCACAGGGCGGGGCTGGGCACGGGGACGTGGGGGAAGCACAGGGATGCTTCCTGAACCGCGACCTGGGTTGCATCCCCGTGGGGATCTGGGCGCAGCTGGGCTACTGCTGGCTTCTTCCCATTTGGCTGCAGCGCTGGGAAATTCACCGGAAATAAGAGGAAGACCCAGTTTTGCCTCCTAGAAGGAGTCATGTGTCCAGTGACTGGAACCAGGGGCCTGGGATATCAGCACCCAGATCCCAGACAGGCCCCTGCCCTGCTTCCGTGACTCCGAGAAACTCCCTCGGACTTCCTTGCAGTTTAGTCACCATCACATGGTGAGAACGTGAGCTGGGAGGGAGGCGGAAGGAACTGGGCTTGTTTAGTGTAGAAAGGAGACAGCAGTTCTCAAGTACCTAAAACAGTGTCACGAGGAGGGAGCAGCAATGGGCTTAAGTTGCAGCAAGGGAGGTTTCGGTTGGACATTAGGAAACAGTTCCAGTCGGGGGTGAAAGACGGGAATAAATTGCCCAGGGGGGTTGTGGAGAGATTGAAGAGCAGGCTGGACACACCTGCCAGGGATGGTCTAGAGACGGTGCTTGGCCTGCCGGGAGAGCCGGGGGCTGGACTGGAGGGTCTCCCGAGGTCCCTCCAGTGCTAGGCTACGTCTACACTGGCGTGATTTTCCGGAAATGCTTTTAACGGGAAAGTTTTCCATTAAAAGCATTTTCGGAAAAGCGCGTCTAGATTGGCAGGACGCTTTTCCGTGCAAAAGCCCTGATCACGAAAATGGCAATCGGGGCTTTTTTGCGGAAAAGAAATCTGAGCTGTCTACACTGGCCCTCTGTGCAAAAGCTTTTCGGAAAAAGACTTTTGCCCGAACGGGAGCAGCATAGTATTTCCGCAAGAGCACTGACAATCTTACATGCGATCGTCAGTGCTTTTGTGGAAATTCAAGCGGCCAGTGTAGACAGCTGGCAAGTTTTTCCGCAAAAGCAGATGATTTTGCGGAAAAACTTGCGAGTCTAGACACAGCCCTAGTGTCTGAGTCTGTCCTGGGGGCTTTGGGTCAGAGAAGTGATGCTCCTTCTAAGCTGAGTTTTCCCTGGGGGGCGGGACCAGCCCTGGAGAGAAGAGGCCCGTTCTGTTCACGTAGGGAAACCTGCCTGCTGTCGGGAGCGCTGAGCACTGCGCTGGGCGGAGAGGCTGTGGATCCCTTGCGGGAGGTTTCCAAGGACCGGCTACAGAAAGACCCGTCAAGGCGGGGAGCTTGGGGGTCGGCAGGATTCATCCCGGGCAGGACTCCGGTCCCAGTGCGGTTCTGCTGACCTGTCGTTGCCAGAGGCCTCGCCAGGAACTGGCGGACTCGCTGGGCGAGGGATGCGCTGGAAACAGGCGATGGGTGGGGACAGACAAGAGCCCCCCGTGTTTGGAGCGGGCGCGAGGGGAGATGCAGGCGTGGGAGGGAACTGGCCCCACCTCCCAGCCCAGATCGGTAGCATGTTGCGCCCAGCCGGGGGGGAGCCGGAGCCGGAGCTGGAGGCGCGATGGGTCCGTCTGTCCCCGGGCAGGGTGTCCGTCCGTGTGTGCTGAGCAGTGGTCTCTGTTCTGCCGCAGATCTCCCGGTGCCCCTCCATCCCCTGCTTCGTCTCCTCTCCGGACGAGTGTCTCTGGACAGACTGGGTGACGGAGAAGAACATCAATGGGCGGCAGGCGAACCATTACGCCTGCATCAAGCGGAGCGACGGCTCGTGCGCGTGGTACCGCGGCGTGGCCCCCCCCAAGCAAGAGTTTCTCGACATCGAGGACCCCTAAGCGGGGCGGCTGCGTTCCCACCCCAGTAGAAAGGCCTGCAAGAGATGAGCCTGGTCCACTCTGACATCACTTCCTGGAAACAGCATGAAAATACGCTCTCCCCAGCAGGCCCCGGCGGGGGGTAAATGCCAGGTGCTTCCCAAGCGCTGCTGGCCCCTTCCCGTCCCTTCCCTTCCCAGCGGCCAGTCCCGAGCCGCCCGCACCTGGACCCCGGTCCATGTCTCTCCTT